CACATATATATATATATATATATATATATATAAATATATATATATGCGTGTGTATGTATATGTATATTACCTATACTAATATATGATGTAAATAAGTGCACAGCAATAAAATAGGGAATATAAATTAGTTAAATGATTCGTATAACCAATACATAAACTTGTTTTCTTTACCAATTAGTATGTACGTTTAGTTGTTAATTAAATAAAATATCTAGAAGTTGTGCAAAACGTAGTGTCAGACATATTTTGGAACATATTAATTAAGTTCTGCTAAATTGGAACCAAATGATTCAAATTTTAATAATGAGACATCTAAACAAAACTGCCTCGGTACCACCATACAACATATACTGAGCTTGTGCACGTGCCCATTCAAAGACGATACACCGAAAACAATTAACCCATTGATAATAACTCTACATTAATCCACCCAGTGAGACTAAAAAAATCAACCCCTTTGAAATATCACAAAAGCTTTCATGATATGATGTCATTGCGTCGAGATTATCTGGGGTGCATGTCGCATAGTAAATGAAGCAGTAATTATCCAATAGGTCCGCGGAAGAGCCTCGTTCAAAAAATTTATAAAGGGTGCATATTCTTTGTCCAGTATTGTTAGCAAATTGAAAAGGGGTATGTGTGCATTGCGGTACACGAGTTATAGTTTGGATAAATTAAATAGTGTGAGTGCTGAGTGTTCGTATACTCGTATTAAAAGTGCGCATATATATAGTTATATATTAATTGTTTTTTTGACCTTGAAGAATATATATATATATATATATATAGTAGTATATATTAGTAAAATTTTTTACAACATCTTTATTATTTCATACGATTCGACATCATCATTAGTGGTTATGAACTTATTAAAAGAAAAGTAACACAAAATAATAATAATGCCAAATAAAAAGTAGGTAATTATAAATTGCAACGTAGCACTATTTGTCAGTATTTATTTGTATTATTATTTTTTTTAGATGTAGAGAAATGCACCCATTACAGGCCACATTTTAGTTTGAACAATGAGTTTTAAGTTGATTACTTAAACTAAAGTAGCCTAGCATTTCCCACTGCATTTCTCAACATTTTTTAAAATGATATTTTGTGAAATAGTAACTAGTGACAAAAAGTGCAACGTTGCAATTTATAATAACTTTTTTTGTTATTTGGCATTATCATCATTTTGAGTTAGTTTTCTTTTAAAAAAATCATACATACTGATGATGATATAGAATTTTACATTAAAACATATGGAGTAATATAAATGTTGCAAAAATCTTTACTTTATACTTTTTACTTGATGCTATATCCTTCAAGAATTTAATAATACATTTCAAAATCAAATTCAACTATCCTCAACATATATATATATATATATATATATATATATATATATATATAAATTGATTATAATTGATGATTTATTACTTAAACGCTCGATTCAGAAAATCTAAGAAAAAAAATATCAAAAAACTATAAACATTATTTCCATTAACACATTTTTTCAAATAAAAAAATATTTATGTTTATGTTTATATAACGGTAAGTTACAACTTTTTCTTCTACTATAAACTTAAAATTTTCAAAAACGTTCTTTAAAAAAAGTGTTCTAAAGTGCCTTGACAAGTTCCATTAAAAGTACGCGCACTTATATGTGTTGCAAAATATAAGTTGTTAGATTGTTACAGAAAAAAATGGATTTTTAACACTCTGATAAATCATAATATGAATTGTATCAACCTTTCAAACACAATCAGTTGACATTTTATTTAATTGAATTTATTTTATAGGTATACAATTTTTATATTTGAATAAAGCAAAATGTAGAGAATAACAATACATGTAATTACATTCAAATACGTCATACTACTAATCGTTAAACAATATCACACATTACACATCAGGTACGGTACTCGAAAACGAACACGCATTTGCCGAGTTCTGGTAATAAACGGTCTGTTTTCACAAGGAGACCCGATACGCGACATTACACACGAAATTATTACTTCTATCGCCATTAAACTGCGCATATTATCGCACACAGAAATACCCTATATGCATCGGTTGCATTTTCGCACATGTCCTGCCCAGTACGGTTACTGTAATATTAATAATCACATGACAATTTCCCATATCGCGAGCAATTATTATTCGCGGAGCTGTGTTCGTAAGCCGGTCGCGGTAATCAAAGTGTACGGGCCTTAGTCATACAATTAGCGCTTAAGTAATTCCGTTCGCCCACGTAACTTGCGAGAAACAACTCCCGATAGGAACTAGGTGATGAGGATTTTCTAGTGTGTTCAAAATTAAATAATTGAATATGATAATGCATTTTTTGAATTACAAAGTTTGTCACAACCTTCAATAAAAATCAAGTAAAATATTGTAATTAATAGTTAATATATAATGTATAGAAAAATAATGAGTATTGTCATTTTATGCCTGTGCTTATATATATATATATATATATATATATATATAATATTCAACTATAGACGTATAGTTAAAACTGAACTAAACTTGATGCAACTGAAATTGGTTGTATAATCATATTGTTGAAATTTTTCATATATTTATATTATTTGTAATCAAGGTCCAGTTTTTATTCAAGTAAAATAGGTCCAGAACCAAGTCCAGGTCCAGATTTTATTTAAGTAAAATAACGTTAACCATATACAGATATGAGCAAATACAAACGATATTTTTGGAAAAGCGATATTTCATAAGCCGCTTGTAATTAACATCTTCATTATACTAAGGGTTCTATATACATAAATTACTATCAGTACATGTATGTGTTCTAGTTATTAAAAAATTTAGAAGAAGACTATATGTCTAATTTGCTATACTACATAATTAATTGTCCATATGACAGTCAGTTAATTTTTTTGACTGACAGTTATTTTTTTTATATTTTTGATATAATATTACTACTGACGGTAATAATAAACTCTAATTTATGGTAGGTTGTAAAGAAATGATATTTGATTGTATATTAATTTTAATTTCAGAATTACCTGATCGAAACTATGAAATTAAAAAGAAATTGCTACAAGAATTGATAAATATCTTTATGTGGTAAATTTCTATGAGAATAAATATGTGCAAGTTTATTAATAATCAATTGATAAAGTTGAAGACTATACATGAATTGGCAGTAACATGAATGTTTTTAAACAAAAGAGTGATGCAAAACGAGACGACGTAATAAGCAGATGAATTCATTGTATTTGATAACGTGCATCGCGCTGCTCTTCATACTGAGGTGAGTAAGTTATGATATCAAGAAATAACATCATAATAGAAGCAAATTATTTTTATAAAATCAGGAATAATTATATTCAAATTCACTAAACATTTGATAAATTTTATTCTACCATCATTATTCAAAAAGATTATATGTAACAAAACCCTTGTAGCCGAATATTTTTCATAATTTTGAGCTTCATGATCTGTTTGTATGTCGTATATTCTAATTATTTGTAATACCTCGATTAAAATTTCATGCATCATCAATTTATAATACAAAACATTCACATGTAAATAAAGTCGTATATTTTTTTGTATTTCAACTTCCATTCCAGCATGTTAACTAATGCAAACTGCATGTAATCATTCGGTGAGAGCCATTAAGTTTATCACGTAGTCATTACGAATGCCGATTGGTACTCGTTTAGAAAAAAAATTGGATCGATTTTATTGTCAGTGAATAAATTGAACATAAATAAAGATAAGAAGATCCATGCTTGCTACGAGACATCGTCAATTAAATTTTATAAAAGTCATTTGGTATTTCAAATATTCGACGGACTATTTATATGTAGATGGCTTCGGTGATTTTACTTTCGAAACATTTCTGTATTGCAGGGGCGTTAAATCTTTTTGCCCATAAAATTAAAAATACTAATTAGAGGGTATTTTGTTTTCAATAAATAATTTTCAACTGATTTATTGTGTTCAAAAACTTTTCTAGCGCAAAGTCACTAGTAGATATTTTAACTTATTAAATAATACTCTATCACATGAATACATATAAATAATTACAAATAAATCACAAGTTTGGTGAATGTATAGTGCAATACTGTTTACATTATTGTTAAGTGATTAACGATTCGTATACAAACACACAGCAAGTTTCAAATTTTAAAGAGCGCATCTACATAGTTATCTAATGATATAATTTTGATAAAAAAAATTTGAGAATACGTTTTACTCTCACTTTGATAAATTAATGTGATTTAGATTAACATTTATTAAAACAAGATTAATTTAAAAAACACATCAGTTAACATTGTAATTTGTTACTACACGATTTCCAAATAGTAAGCAAGGCATTATATCCAGGGCTTAATGTGAACGAATTAATCCTTTTAATGATGCGCTTTCTTTTTTGACTAGATTTAGGAGATATACGGGAATGAAAAAACTGATGACACGTTTCAATTTGATTTGAAACATAGTAAACTTTTATAGATATGTATGATGATTTGAAAGAAATCATAAATTATCAAAACCGTATAATGATAATTAGTTTTAAAACCTAGTTCTTGTAATATTACACTTCTAATTATTTTGTGTCATTACCAATTTCGCGTAAATATAATTAATAATGGTAATTTCACTTTCTCATTTTTGAACTAGTTAATAGTATTACCTAAAATTTTTGAAAATAGATTTAGAGAAATCGTAAAGTTTCGTACAAATACAAAAAAAATATATATTATCACAGTCTAAATGTATTTTTTTCCTTTTTTGTTCGCAGCTTTCTAGTATAATTAGTAGCGATTTCACTTTTATCTATATCAATTTTTTTATTTCTGCTTGTCATCAGAAAACTATCACACTTTGCTCAAGTCGAATAAAGCATTCAGGAATTTCTAGCAATTTAGTGTAGGGTGGCATTTTTACTACTCATTATACATTACTTGTATGTAATTGAATAATATTGATTTTTTCTTTATATTTCATAATATTTAACAGTTTGCTTTTTATTATAGCGCTGCGCGCTGCTCGTACAACAACTACGCGCCTCGAAGAAGGCCGATGTCGAACATAATGTCTCCCTGCAGATCGGTGCAAGGGCTGACGAGGGCGCAGTTGCGCTTGTGTAAACGACAAGGAGATACGTCGGCCACGGCGCTCCAAGGGCTCCAAATGGCGGTTGCCGAATGTCAGCACCAGTTTAGGAAAGAAAGATGGAACTGTTCAAGTCTGGATACAAAAAATAGTAATCCGCACACGTCGGCAATCTTAAAACATGGTAAGAGTTTCTAATTCAAAAACTATTTCAATTTCGTATTACTATGTCTTCACAAGCAATGTATGTGTGTATTTTTTAGTACTTCGGTAATTAACTCAGAATATTGATTGAATAATTAGATACTGATTTTATAGACTTTTATTATTATGCTTGTAAAGGTGTCGAATAATCAGATTGAATCGGCTTATTTAATAGGATTTTCAGAAAAATTAACGATGACAATACATAGGCGTGTAAATTCATTCAAACATTCTTTTAAATCTATATAACTATATGTACATAAATTAATGATACCCGGAATAACTAGATAAAACAGTTTGTCAAAGATCAATATATATATATATATATATATATATATATATATATATATATATATATATATATATATATATATATATACGTGAGACGTGTAAAAGATAAGATCACGCGTGTACGTTCAGATTAGTCAGAACTAATTTCAATCAATGTTTTATTTTTATTTTCATAGGTTATAGAGAATCAGCATTTGCTTATGCAATATCGGCTGCTGGAATATTGCACAGTGTAACCAGAGCGTGTAGTCAAGGATCTCTTATATCATGTGGCTGTGGACCGACCCCGAAAAAGCCTTTTTTGCCAACAGCGGCTAACCGAAAAGCTTTCAAACTTGAAGAACAAAGGTGAGCAAAAGAAGATATATTTAAAGAATTTTTAATTAAAAAACATATTTTTTCAGACTAAATGCTATTGGTATAAATAATGAAATGAATGCAATAAACCAAATACCACTTGAAAATTCCGAAAAAACTGAAACGGGAAGTAAATGGAAATGGGGCGGTTGTTCACATAATTTAGACTATGGAATGGAATTTTCCAGATTATTTCTAGATTCCAGAGAAAGCCTAGGAGATATACAATCGCGTATAAATCTACACAACAACGAAGCCGGTAGACTGGTAAAACTTCAATAAACACATAATTAAAATTATATAAATATTTTATGATATTTATCCAAAATTTTAATCCAGGCTGTAGCTAATAATATGCAAATAAGATGTAAGTGCCATGGAATGTCAGGTAGTTGTCAATTGAAAACGTGTTGGCAAACTTCACCGGATTTTCGTACCGTTGGACGCGTGCTCAGAGATCGATACAAATCTGCGGTTTTGGTCGATCAATCGAATATGAACGATGGATCGCCTATCCTGCGAGTAGATTCAAAGAAAAAGAGGTAAAAAATATATATTTCAGTTAGTTTCAGTCACTCAACTAATATAATTATATCTGTTGACGTATCATTTACCTATATTCATTTCATACCAATTCGATAACGTTAATGTTTGAATAAATGAATGAATTATTTCACTACAAGTTTATTCTTTCAGGCGAAAAAATAGACAAGGCGGTGGCAATAGAAACCGAAATATCAATTCCGAAAATTCTTCAAATAAAAGGAAACGTGGAGGTCGTGGAAAACGATTTCAGCAATCGCTATTGTATTATGAACGTTCACCAAATTTTTGTGATGCTGACTCTGCAGCCGATATTGCAGGTATGATATAAAACATATTTAAATAATCAGTACTTTGTTGAAAATTAAATTAGAAGCAGCTTCCCTAATTCAAAACAATGATGAATCAACAATAAATATTATTGATGTCAATTACCAATAATAATTAAAATGTAATCAATTGTTGTTATTGTGGATAGAAACCAACACGTTGATATTCACAAAAAGATTTGTTTTGTTGTGAATCTATATAACCTTACGATAAACATATACGCCATCTAGCAATATTTGCTTAACTCCGATAAAAAGGAAATATTACGGAAACGCTATGTTACGGGACTGTTACATCTTCGTATGAATTGGTAGACAGAACTAACAAAAAGCTATGTATTTGATGTGCAAAAACCTAACTTCAAAAATGTGTTATCAATGAAACATAAGAAAAACGCGCTTATGATAAAATAGTTATTTGACATGTGTGCGTTTTGTAGGTTAGGTTCAATGTGTGAAACGCCTGATCGAACAGCAAATTCATAGCATTTTGACAGTTCGTTACAACTAATTCATACAAAAATAAACTCATAATATAGCGTTGCCATAACATTTATATTTTATTGTAAAATTGACCTCATAAATATGAGTCCCAGTTTTGTTTAGTATAAAAAACAGCAGATTTCACTCCATAATTATCATTTGATGACTGATATTACTAAATTTGATAAGGCTTGAAATCTGTTAATGTGTAAGAACAACTCGAATACAAAACTGATTTTCACAACTCACTTTCCTCTAACAAATCAATTTTTGTGGTTAACCGACCAGGTACGTCGGGTAGACGCTGCACCCACAACGCGACCCAGGACGCCGCTCTCGACAGTTGTTCGACGATGTGTTGCGGACGCGGATACAATTTGATAAGGGAACACTATGTGTCGAGATGCAATTGCAGGTTCCACTGGTGCTGCACGGTCGACTGCGACACTTGCGAACGAGACGAATGGATAGCCGTATGCAAATAGATAGATGCAAGTAGAATCTAATCCGAGGTGAAAGATATTAATTTGTGATAAAACCATAGACATTGTCCAAAAAAGTTCGTTCAATTATTTGAATACAATCATTGAATGTTCACAGTATCTGAACTTAAATAAAAGTAGTGAAACATAGTGAACTAAATTGCATATTTGTGTCCCAATAAAAATGTGTGAGAATATTAATGTTTATTAAACCAAAAATGCACGTATACTCTATACTATACGAGATTATGTATCCTCCTTAGCCGTGTGTTACGAATGCTCAAATTACATAGGCCTGCGATGAAAAATGAAGAAACTTATACATACATAACGACTGAAATTTAAACGAGAAACCAATATGGCAAAAATATTTTTCATCACTTATATAATATAGTAAGATAATTTACTATCTATTATCCTCGCCATCTTTGCAAAAGTCTATTATTATTTACAGTATTTATATATATGTACTTTTAATTGGAAAACAAGTTGGATGTAACTTCTGATTTTACAATATTCTAATCGTACTTTTCGAAAATTTAAAATTTGCAGGCCAGTGTTATTATTGTAAAAATGTATTTCATTGTGAAGATGTCAGGAATAAGTTATAATTTGAATGTATTATTTACCATATCCAATCAAAGTAAAAAATACTTTTATTCCCAGTATTTAATTAGTGTTATGTACTAGTAATATTAATGTTATGTACTAGTAGTATATAATCATTAAAATTTATTTTTATTTTAATTTATTTCGTAATTTATTAATATCCCTATGAAACGCTTAAAACACTTATTCACTTAACTATAAGCATATATATTTTCAAATTTGACTGACTTTAACCTCTATTAAATTAAAGAAATAATGTAAGAAGTGTTAGAGAAACACTAAAAACTCGAATTTTATACAACTTATGCAAAACAATTAAATTATTATTTAGTTATAGATAAATAATCATTGTACTTAATTTATTGTAATAAAAATATGAAGCAACATATTAATTGCTATGTAAAAAAATGAGAGAAGTTGATTTGTTAAATATCAATATAATTACAAAAAAAAAAAAAAAATATAAAAATAGAAGATCATAAATTTATATTGACATCAACAAAACTATATTGACATGTATATTTGATTTGATTTTTCAAAAATATATCAATGTCGTAAAAGTTTATTGAGGTAAATGCAAAGTTCAAGTTCAAAATAAACTTGTCCAATTTAAATATGATGATAAAACTCCGATTTTAGTATTTACTCATATTTGATCGACATACGCATATAAAGAGAAAATATTATTTCTAATACTGATATTGTTCATGAGTTTTCACTAATTTATAGAAACATAAATAGCTCTTTCTATTAATAATATTTCTAGACTAATCGCCTCAATGAAAAAATAGATTTAGAATGAAAGAAAATCTTTACAAAGAAATGCTATAATTTTCTCGATTGTTATTACAAATTGATTTATCTATATTGATTTTCTTCTTCAATGCAATTGTATCAGCATCATTTCTCGGAAAACTATAGAGAATTAGCTTAAACGACGACCATTAGCGTCGTTGGTGATCATTCGCACATCATTCTTTGTATGACGGCAAACAATAAAAACAACATACGAAACAAATCTAAAAACTGCGTTTCGCGTTGGAGAACACATATACTACTCGCGCAACATACATTATTATATTTCGTTCTTCCTTCGGATAAATTGCATTGTTGATTCTGTCCGGTCGAAGGGCCCGGAATAAAAAATAAAAAGACGAAGAAGAAACACTTCGCGCATACACACATGCAAGTATTGCGATTGTCAATGCAATGAAATATGGACTTTGAGCTTAAAAGATTATCATCGGTGCGTTAGTATACAATGTAGTCAAAAGCGCGCAATGAGCCGAACATGAACCCGCCGGACAATGGTGCGTATTGCATCTGTCCGTGAGCTTCTTCGTAACATTAGCGCGTTAGTCGCGCTTCGAAATGCCACCCGAGCGTGAATCTGTGTTATCATCGTCTACCTATGCAGAAATGTTTCAGAAGTAAAAAGCCAAGGAAACGGTATCCTCAAGGAAAAAATAAACTCAGGCCAAATTTAGGGATGGTGTCAGAAATTAATCAATTTGCGGAAGTAAATAAAATACAAGCAGAAGATAAAGCAGAAGCAACACCTGAAAGTAAAATAATTATATTGCCCACCCGCAATTGTGTTGGCACTACGATTCTTAAACTGCTTAACATCTATAATTAGGTTCCTCAAAACAACATATAAAAAAGTGGTCAAGCCGAATACCTGAACATTATATATACTAATATATACTAATAATATATATATATATATATATATATATATATATATATATGTATTATAGAATTTTATGATATGAGTGGAACGAATATTAATTGTTTAATATGAACAAAACAGCACTCAGATTTGTTTGACACAACTTTATTTTATGATTACAGACGTTTCGAGACCATGGTGTGTCTCATCTTCAGTGTAATTTCAAAAACAGTTACTTATATACTACACATTCTTTAATAATTTATTTAAATTTCATTTAATTTTTAATATAAATTATTAAAGAATGTGTAGTATATAAGTAACTGTTTTTGAAATTACACTGAAGATGAGACACACCATGGTCTCGAAACGTCTGTAATCATAAAATAAAGTTGTGTTAAACAAATCTGAGTGCTGTTTTGTTCATATTAAACAATTAATATATATATATATATATATATATATATATATATATATATATATATAGGGCTGAGAACAAGGATCCAATTAAAATTTGAGTAATTATACTGTCTAAACCAAATGAACAATATCACAACACATAACATGTATCAAACAAACAGCTGTCATACTATGTTCAGTGAAATTCCCACTTAATTCCTGATTATATAAATGTGTTTTTTAATTGTTTTCTTTAAAATCGTCATCTGTCTCCTTTACCCAATGAAACAGCCAGAGAACAAAAAAATATCAATGGCTTTTAATTTTAAAGAAATTTTACGAAATAACAACTACAATGTTCAACGAATGAAAAATGTAAATTTCATGAGCAAATTTTTGACAAAGATAACACTGTAATACCTAGATAATATGTCGTCCGAAACTTACGTATAATTTATTTTGTATATGTAATTGTTACTTTTTAAACATATTTGTCAATTTAATATATTCGAATATGTAATGTATATGGCACTAATTCCTAGACTACCTAAGGCAACAGCAAAAACGATGGTGAAAAAACGGTTAAAATAAAAAATTATACCAAATGCTATTCCAACCAACGAAATTCCAGTGCATTAAAAAAATAATTAACAATAAACTTAACGTATAATTTATTTTGTATATGTAATTGTTGCTTTTCAAACATACTTGTCAATTTAATATATTCGAATATTTAATGTGTATGGCACTAATTCCTACACTACCTAAGGCAACAGCAAAAACGATGGTAAAAAAACGGTTCAAATTAAAAAATTATAGCAAATGCTATTCCAACCAACGAAATTCCAGTGAATTAAAAAAATAATTAACAATAAAAAATCGTATGATGGAGTACTTAGAACTTGACACTTTACGCTAATGTTTCAAGATTCTACTTATATCAACTTCTAAGACATTTTCTTCTAAAATATTTAACTTTGACATCGCGTTAACAAAATCAAATTTTAATTGCCGCGTAGCACAAAATTTATATTATATTAAACACCCAAACGTCTCTCTTTGTATACATTATTTATTCAATCTCATGCACGTATTTGCTTTATTATGTAAATATTATTGTAATATTCTTCATAAACAAATACAATGTGCTGAACGATCATACATGTGATATTTAAAAAGGAACGACATCAATTGATTATCAGATTTCTAAAGCAGTTGAAGTACTTTTTATTCTTCATTTACAATGTTGTTAATTATACTTCTAATGTTTGATTTTTTTAAAATTGTGATATCGTTGTTGTTTTTTATAAAAAATAGTCTGTTTTCACGTTTTTAAGTATTCCAAATTAAATAACATCAGTTACCTCTCAAGAACATCCAGTGGGTGATTGCTTTAAACACATATAAATTTATTGCGAGAGTTCAGAACGTGTAATCACTCCCTGAGTGGAAGCGTCAGTCTGTTAGACCACCACTCAATATTTCTTTACTTAATTAACCGAACGGCGGATTTGACACGGCAACAGTTGGCGATATTTTGAACAACTTTACGATTGCGAAATATTTATATTGCCGAAACGAATCGCACAAAAATTCATAACGCGAGAAGCGCACATTAACAAACAATAATAGTGTCGAGAAGCCCCCCGAGATCCCATCTCGATTGGGTAGGATAACATCAAAATGACGATAGGAATACACATCTTTAATTAAAGATTATTCTAAAACGCTAACTAACTACAAAAAACAATAGCTATTTAATCTTAGAGTTCAAAGTTACTATAAGCTTTTGCGTGTCCAAAGGCAATGCCATAATCGAGAAGACCTTATTTTTCTACTTCCTTTTCAAGTATTGCATAAAAACTTTGTGAAGTTTTATCTAATGTAATAATCTTCATTAGAGTTTCTAATAATATTGCAAACTCTCCAGTTTTCTTTATGGTAACGATTTATATATACTGATTTAGAAAGTAAATTAGTAATGAAAAAATTATGAAATATCGAGTTTATTGATTCAACTTAGTAATTAAAAAAAAATTTCATGCCGACGAGGGAAAATCGACCTTGTTCACAATATTAAAATCAATATCTGCTTTGTATATTTATGGTGCTTCATAATCTGCTCTGCTGGAAGATTAGCGAGCTATGTGGCTTCTTTTCATTGAAACTTGCTAATTGAATAAGCTTCGTAGCAGAGTTTTAATTTGAGTAAGTCAATGAACAGTCCTTTTTCAGATTTTACACGAACAATATGGCAAGAAGGAATATTAATATTAAAGAAAAAATACATAATAATTAAATAATTATGGAGGGAAGTGAAGATATATCTTTGGAAACGCTGCCGATAATTAGTCAATTTGAGTGTAAAGAGCTGCTAGGTTCAGGTGTTTTTGGTAAAGTTTATTTATCAAAAGACCCTGCTACAGGTACAAATATATATAATCAAAATATATTAGCAAGGTCTTAACTTTTGTTTGATTGTGTATTAATGAAGTGCGCCTTGAGCTAAGTAGGTTTAGTAAATGTATATTATTGTTTTTTTTTAGAGAGCAAGTGCGCTGTAAAAGTTCAACGTTTAGATGGCCGATATGACAAGTTAATTCTGAAAGAATATAGTGTACTCAAAGATTTATGCTTACATCCGAATCTACCAGAATTCTATGGAGCTTATAAAACAGAAGATGAACCCGTAAAAATTCTTTTCTTTATGGAGGTGAAACACATTTAACTATCAGATTAAGTAAAATTTTGTTGAAAATATATAGTAATCAATTTATATATTTAGGTTTGTGAAGGTGGACCCGTGATCGACATTGTCCGAGCTTTGATCCATGCAAATCGACGAATGTTCGAAGAGCACATAGCTTTTATTCTGAAAGAAATCATCAAAGCGCTAACTTATTTACATGGTCATTTATTGGCACATGGCGATATAAAAGGAAATAACATTCTTTTAACTACCAGAGGAGAAGTTAAACTGATAGATTTCAATCTATCTCGATGTTCAGTAAGAGATCGCGGAAGCATTGAGAAATTGAGGCAAGGTTCACCTTGTTGGATGGCTCCAGAGGTGAATAAAAATGCATGGTCATGTATACGGTTTCAAAATGTAGTAGACACATTTTTGTTATGTGGATCAAATTTAATTTTCACTATAAATTCGTGCTTTCATGCAACGATTTTTTTTATTATAAATTTATTCTGACCTTCTTTAGAAATCTCGCGAAACAAACCCGATTTATAATATGCTATTAATCAATATTATTAATTTTTCAACAGATAATATCAGGAGATCAAAGTTTTCACGGTAGCCGAGCAGACGTGTGGTCCTTGGCCATCACTGCTATTGAAATGGGCGATGGCTCGGCGCCCTATGAGGATATGCATCCAACAAGGGCATTATTTCATATCGAAAAAAATCCCCCACCTGGATTATACAGGCCCCATCTGTGGTCAAATACTTTCAACGATTTCATAAATGAGTGAGTTAATATTATTAAATTAATAAGATCAAAATTAAAATAAAAACATAGTCACCAATTATGTACATGCTTTTGTTGTTATTTCAATTTACGAAATTTGATTTAGAATGATATTTATTCGAAAGCCCTTACATCAAATATACTAAAAATAAATATACTAAAAATAGTAAAATCGCTCTACGAATATCTCGTGTAATTCCATTTTCTTTTACAATTTCAATGTATAACAACAACAAAACCATTTTCTTTAAAAAAATATTAGAAATAAAGTTTTAAAATTAATTTGGCATCTATCAATTAGTAAAATTAATATATAATTTTGCAGATGTTTAGTAAAAAATCCAGAACACCGACCTTTAATGATGGAGGTCGTAGCTCATCCGTTTATAACTCAACTTCCAGAACGTGATTATCATGTATGTATTTTTTAATTTTCAAAACAAAAATTCATATTAACATCAACTCTTAGAATTCAGTCATCAATTCCAAATTTCAGTATTTTCAATATAGAAGTTACTGAATTAACATATTAGTTTTTATATATATATATATAAAAACATATATATACAAATACATATATGTATTAGATATGGAAGTTTGTGTTGTTGATTGCGAAAATAAATGCTGCATAATGCTTCAAAAATGTATCTGTAATCTGTAACATCTAGCAAAGAATAATATTTTTCACAAATATATGTGCACTTGAGAATAAAGTAATTTAAGAAAAATCTTAGAACAATGTATACAAAGATAGTTGCAAAAAAACTTTTGTAAAGTTAACAATAACTTTTTTATTAATGGTCTTTTAAGCAAGTACACTAGTCTAACTTTAACTTAACTTTACTATATATTTTTTATTTTCATAGTTAAATTTGGAACTTTCGAAACTAGTAGAAGATTTTCGTAGCACAAGGAAGCTTTATAAAAAACCAGAAATATTTCTTGATAACTTGGAAATTAAATGTAGCAACGATACTTCACCGCAGAAATTACTTATAGAAGATTTATCGACTATGGATAATATTACAGAAGAAAATATTTTAAATCTTTTACATGATAGATTTGATAAAGGGCTAATATATACATTTATTGGAGATATATTGCTTGCCTTAAATCCCGATGAAGACTGCGAACATTTATTTACTGATGAGGTAAATACTATGGCTGAGAAAATAATATAAAATTAGATTTTGTAATATGTTTTATTTTAGCACCATGCAAAATATAAATATAAATCAAAATCGGATCATGCTCCACATGTTTTTGCTGTGGCTGATGGAGCTTACCAGAATATGTTGCATTATAAAGAAGGTCAACGGATTTTACTGTTTGGTGAAACTTGTTCGGGAAAAAGTGTGAACGCTGCCAAAATTATAAAACATTTATCATACATGGGTAAACTTTTTCAATTTTTCGTATATTAACAAATAAGTTTTTTATATTTTGAATTATACTTAATTATTCATTAGAAAACAGTCTGAGAGCAAATAAGAATAATCTAGTATCAATAATAGAATTGTTCAGATTTAGAATATTAAGTATAATTTACATCTTTAGAAAATTTTTATAATTAAAAAAGAAACTTGGTATTGAAACTTGGACCTGCTAATATCCACAGTAATCTTTATAAATGTTGCATATAATAATTGTATATAATAGTATTATATCAAGGTTTTGTTTATTTTAGGTGAAACTGACAGAAATATGGGTGACCTTATAAATTCATCACTAGAAGTTTTAACATTTTTGACCCAAGCCAAAACACAATTTAATGACCATTCTACCAGATGTGTGCTCCAAACAATTCTAACGTACAGTTCAACTGGAAATATTAGCGGAGTAGTGTATTCAATATATCAACTTGAAAAATGGAGAGCTATTCAGTTAAATGGGTAATTAATTAATAATAAATAAAAAATACGTTTATATATATTTATATATATATATATATATATATAAATGCTATAGATCTAATAAAAGCTGTTTTTAGCAACACTACGACTTTTAACATTTTCCACTATTTTTATGAGGGCATGATGGCACTTGGAAAACTACATTTATATAATTTGGATACCGAAGTCAAACCACGAATTTTTAAATTGCTTAACGAAAATAATAAAACAGAAAATACTAAGAAATTCATGACTTTTGTTAATAATCTACGAAAACTGGGTTTGGAAGATGAACAATTGAATATAATTTGGAACGTTCTCGCGGCTATAATTATAATCAATGATATGTCTTTTGACAATAATGACAATGAATTGTACACCACAGAAGCTATCAAGAAGATTTCAGAAAATCTTCATGTTGATGAATTTATGTTTGGACAAGTTTTATTAAATACTTATGTTGTAGAAAATGAGACAAAAATGGAACGCAAGCGAACATCTGAAGAAACCAAGGACATTTTTAATGTATTGGCCATAACATTATATTCGAGATTGGTCGATTGGATCACCAATGCTATTAACAATAAATTTTCATTCCATCGTACTTTGTAGTAAGTTTTATCAAATACTTTTGAAATAATTATTCCTTATTCAAATAACCTCAATGTTTTCAGTGGCGATTCGTTATCTATATCCATTTTGGACATGTTTGGCTTCGAATCTTATACGACAAATTCTTATGAACAGTTTGCTGTAAATTGTATCAATGAACAGATGCAATATCTTTATAATCATCTTGTTTTTACGACGGAGATGCAAGAATACGAAGAAGAGCATGTGCCTGCTATAAATTTAGAATATTTTGATAACAAAATGACACTAGACGAATTGTTTGGAAAACCAGATGGTATTTGGGAAACTATTCATGACACCTGTCGTATTGGCAAAAATGATAATTTTGTATTAGGTGAGTAGATAGTAATACAGTCGCCAAGGACTTATTTCTAAGATTTATAATTCTTTTCTGTAACTTATGTAGCTCGAAATATATGCGCCATCTACTGCGTTCTGATATATGTTAAGTGTAAAGTATGTGTCCTAGATAAAATATTCCCACTCAATAATATTTACCATGTTCATTTATTAATATTAGATTAATCTGAAATACTTATTATATTTTACTTTACAGATGTCATCGAAAAACAACGTTTTCGCTGTATCAAAAAAACATCTAAAACGACCTTCAATGTTGTACATTACATCGGGACCGTCGAATATAACATTACTAATTTTATTAAAAAAACGAATGATGTTTTATCATATGATGTAGTTGATATTTTAAGAAAAACATCAAACGAAATAATAAAAGAAATGTTCACAAATAAATTGACGGAAACTGGAAATCTCGTGCCAAGCCAAAAGTTCAATATACACGAGCAAGAAGAAGCGTCTGAATGGGATAAGGCTTTGGTACACGAGAAAGGAAAAATTAAAGTATTTTGAAACTGCATATATATGTAATTAGCAAATGAGCTGTAATAAATTTAACCTTGTGAAAATCTTATTTTAGAAAAATAAATATACTTCCAAAGGAGTGTATTCACAGGCTCTAAACGTACCAAACGCAAGTAAAATATTTCGTTCAACAGCCACCAAGTTGCTGAAACATTATTCTATCGGTATAGAATAAATCATTAATCTGTTAACAATATGATATTAAAATTATGAGACTTTTTTGTAGATAACGGAACGGGCAGTAGTCATCTTATACGATGTATTAGAAGAAATTTGGATAAAACCAAAAATTTTATTGAAACAATCGTTCGAGAACAAATCGTAGCGCTTTTCATCAAAAGTACAGCCGTGATAAGAAAAGAGGGGTATCCATGTCGAATTTCATTTCAAGAATTTCTTAAGAGGTATTTGAACTCATTTATATTATTCAACACATCATTATAGCATGTATTATTTCAATTAGATACACATTTCTGGCCTTCGGTTTTGACGAAAAAGTAGAACTGAGCAAACAAAACTGTCGCCTACTTCTTTTACGATTGAATATGGAAGGTTGGATTATTGGACGTACAAAAGTCCTTTTAAAATATTATAATTTAGAATATCTTTGCAGGTAAATATTAATTTTACAATAATTGGTTTATTATCATATCAATAATGAATGAATGCATTATAGATTGTACGAATATCAAATGAAGAAAATCGTTAAAACACAGTGTATGGTAAGGAGTTTCTTGGCTAGAAAACTGATGGCTTTGAGAAATCGTAAAAAGGCTATTGACAATGAAGGTTAATTAAATATTATATTTTTTGTAAATTATTCATTTTATTAGATCTGTATATATTTATAGTTTAATTCATTGACTTATACATGTTACAATAGCAATTAAGCTATTGATTCACCGTTCAAGTGAATTAATTAAATTATAAATTAATAGTCTAACATGATCAAAGTATAAATAAAATTAAATTTAATTGTAATATATATTCTATAAAATTTATGTATTATTATTTTATATTATTAATTTTCATTTCCATCAAAATCCATCAGAAAAGGAAAGAGAAGACCCCACCAATGAAAATGTGGAAGACGAGGAAATTCTAAACGATGATAATATTGCAGGTATTTTGTTGAAATATATAATATCAAACCTTTAAATTGATTTATAAATATTAATAGATGACGCGTCCAATAAATCCGATTACGAATCGATTGCTTATTATTGCAAGCTATGGAAGAATCGTACTATATATGAAGTAATATTAAAATATAGAGCAGCTAGGCAACAAGATTTAATATATTTATGTCAACAGGTAAAAAGAACTAAATATAACATAAATTATACAATAATAGTTGTTTAATGGTTCTTAATTAAAGTATTTTTCAATAAATTTTATATTTTTTACAGTCGCACATATTCAATCAAATTGTCTTGTGTTCTCTAAAAGAAAGCAACGACTACATTTCTTTAGATGAAATTGATAGTCAAACAAGTATGGATTCTATAATTGTTGATCCACCTGCTCCGGTCAGGAAACTTCCATTTAAATTAACTGATATCAATTTTACGGAACCTATCGAATGCTGTGAACCTTGGAGTCACAAAAAGTAAGTAGAAGTCTAACTATGCAAACAATGAAGAAATATTGAAAGAACGATTTGAATCATTGTTATCAATTTGGGACAAGATTATTATTTATGGAGCAATCTCTATTATATTTTCAGAACAAAGGCAGATGGATCAAGATATGACTTAGATGCCTGGGACTCCCCTTTACAACCGACAAAATCCGTTATAACTAACGAAATCACATTATCCCTGCAAAAATGTGACAAAAATTTGCCTTCGTTTCTGCAACCATACAAAGCTCTTCAAAGTAAAACATACAGTCGAACTGAAATTCCTGAAGAAAAAGCATTGGTGGAAAAATCACAAATCACTGAATCAAAGTCATTAAATGATTTAGCCAAAAAATCTCCAATACCCAGCGAAGAGAAGCGAAAAATTTTCAAACGAAAACATTCTTTGGCAGACATAGTGCCAGTTGCAGAAAGTAATTTGACTGCGCCTACACCCGAACCCAAAATTATGGAAAATAAAAGCCCTGCTAAAAGCAATTTAGGCTCAAATCCTATAGAGGAACTGAAATTACTGAAAAGCAAGTGTGAACAATCAGATAACGATGATGATACTAAGGGGCCTTTTAATTTCCAAGCTATTCTGAGGAAAACTAACCTTAGACATGACGCACCACCGGCATATAATGAAGTAGAATTGAATACCTCACCAAAAACAGATGTATAGCAATTAAAATAATGATTAAGAAGTAAATGTATTTTGTTATAAAACATATTCAAATCAACTTTATGGTAAATTTAATAAACACTAATAAAATATACGTCACATTTTTTTTCATATTAATTCATTATTGATAGCACAGTAAATGAAAAGTTTGAAACTATGATACTGCCACCTGCAGAATCAAATATTTAACCAGTTAACTGTGGTTGACGTAAATACTCGTCCTGGAAAAGTGGCAATGTATTTTCCACATATTTTCAATAAAAAATTTGTCGTGGATATAAGTCAGTAAACATTGACTATTTAAATTGAATATTAGAGGAAAACAAAACACATTCTTAAATTTGATAAATTTTACGTATACCAATATGCTTTGGTTGAAAACTTGCATAAGAATTTATTTAAGTCCAAAGTTAGGGCTCGCCTATAGCTAAGTGAACGACGGGGATTTGATTCAGAGGTCTCAGGTTTGACACCCACTTCGAGCAGCCTGATGCCAAGCAGTAGTACCATTAGTTTTTACTCGGAAATATAGAAAGCAATGTATTTCTAAATGAAAATTGTCCTTACCAGACATTGCTGCGTCCGATGAAGAGCTATCAGTATTAAAGTTATGAAAAAGAAATAAAACAATATAAAAATTGCAATCATTAAATGGCCATTTGAGAAGACATAAAAATAAGCTAATAGAACTAACGTAATTGATTACTGTTAAGAATGAAACAAATATGCGACGATTATGTTTAGTTAGCTAAACTAACTAATATGATATTACAAGAAGGCTGTTTCGCTGAATAGCACTGAATTGAACTTATGTTAGCAATATACATGAAACGTATGATTATGTTAAAGGAAGAAGTAAATATTTGCAATATAGTTTCAACTTTACGCATTAAACCCATTGTGCAATGTTAAATGGCCGTACCACAATTAACTGATTGAAAATGAATATTATACAACAGAATGCACCAGTCTGAACATATAATATTACTAATTCTCTAAATGTAAAAAATCTAATCATTTAGGAAAAACTAATCGTATATACATTAATTAATGTTTGCAGTTATTATATATTGTAAAACAAACATGTTTTTCCGAAGGCTCATGGTACTAACCAGGGGGCGCCAAAACGAGTTTTGGAAATTAAATTTATTATACCTTGTATTTTTTATATTTTTATTACTTATATAAAATCTAGAATACTTGATAAATTATAATAAACAATCTAACTTAAGAAGAGACACACGGAAACACAAAAAGCATATTTATTTTGCAATGTGATATCAGTAGAAACAATTAACCGATTAATTACTCGGCAAATTAGTAAATAACAGTTCTGTTTATTCATTTTTTTCTTTAAAGTTACCGTGGAATCAAAAACGAAATTATTTAGTGTTCAATCCCATAAGCGCAAATCTGCGGAAGATTAAATTAGTTATTGGGCATTATTGACGAAAAATTGCGAGCTGATTTAGTTATATACAGATTATAATCGTGAAAATGAAAAATGTGGAGTCAGTGCTTAGAAAATGGCATGTTTATTCCGAGAAATTGAATCGTAACTTTTGTTTTTGTTGCAAATGTTTCGCATCTGATGAACTTTGAATGTTGAAGACATGCATGGTTAGAGTTATGGAAATGAATCAAATATGAAAAATGAAAGTAAAATTTACTTTGTAACAAAAATTTTAATGTTTTTTTATACCTAGTGGTGTCCATACTCTAAATTTAATAAATATGTTAATATTTATATAATTTTAATGATAAACTGTTAAAACGGTAAAGATTAATAGGAGGGGGGCGCTAGAAAAAAAGTTGCATGCGGGCGCTAAGGACCCCAGGACCGGCCCTGCCTATTTCTATTAAATACTTTTAAAAAATGAAATGTCAAACGACTTCAACGAGAAACTACAATGAATACGTCGCCCGCATGCCTGCAAACTGAAGCACGTTTGTACGAAATGTCAAAAAGGTGCAGGACTTAGGAGACATAACCTATAAATTTAGCGTTATGACATAATCAAATGAAACATAATTAAAATAAATAATTATGCGCAGAGCTAAAATTTTTATACGTAATCATTATATTAGGTGATATTATTAATGCGTTATTCCATAGGTTTTCAGTTTTCAAATGCATAACCTAATTTATCAATGTGCATCTTATTGAACAGTGCACGACAATAGGCAATTAGCAAGATAAAATAAACTGATAACGCTTATCAATAGCCAAACGATAAACTCGCATTGCAAAAGTATCGGAGTCATGTGAAATCATTTCAGTGTCGAAACATCATTAGGAAATGAAAGTTCTTCGCGCTCTACGTAATACACGGTCTTTAGGACTGAGGTATTTCTCAGACAATGTCTCTAAATTTCCTCCTGATCACCCGGTAGACAAGACATTGCGATCCCTTCGATTGAAAAGAGTCACCGATGATGATTTAAAACACACACATTGTGATGTAGTGATCATTGGAGGAGGAGGTATGGGATGCTCCATTGCATACTGGTTAAAAGAATTAGCAGGAGATAATTTTAAAGTTGTTGTTTTGGAAAAGGATCCTACAGTGAGTAACTATATGATAATATCATCTCTCAATGCATAGTCAAATAAAATTATTGTAAAATTTAATATATATTTATAAGATTGTCTATTCGATTCAAACATAGACTTTCTAGTCATTTTTAAGACTTATTGCTTGGTTGCCTTTAATATATCAAATTCAAATTTAAAGTTTATTCAAGTTGCTAGAAGACTGCCTATTGCTTTGAAAGTCTGACCAATAACTCAGAAACTGTATTATTAATTGTGCACTACTTACGGGATTGCCACTTTCCATACTGAGTCTACCAATTACATTATAACTTTAATTAAAGTCTTTGATACTCAAGGAATATATGTGTAGTATCATGCGGCTTACAACAATTCATTTTATAAAAAATTCTAACAATAACTTCTCATCTGTTTCAGTACAGCAAAGCTTCTACAGTATTATCAGTTGGTGGACTAAGGCAACAATTTTCATTAGAAGAAAATATACGAATGTCCTTATTTGGAGCTGAATTCATTCGTAAAATCAACGATTATCTAAAACACGATGTAAATGTTAATTTTACTCCTTATGGTTATTTAATGTTGGCCTCCGAAGAAGGTGCAGATCAGTTAGAAAAAAATTCAGCATTACAAAGATCACTTGGTGCCAAAAACGAACTACTAGGACCTCAATTATTAAAAAAGAAATTTCCATGGCTGAATACTGAGGGAATTGCTCTAGGTTTGTTTCTCAATCTGTATATGGTATTACCTTAGGTTTTTGCTACATGAAGTTAAAATTTTGCCTAGGTTGTCATGGTTTAGAAAATGAAGGATGGTTTGATCCTTGGGCTTTATTATCGGGATTGAGGACCCGTGCAAAAGAGTTAGGTACAATTTTTCAACATGCAGAAGCTGTTGAATTTGAATTTGAGAAAAAGGACGATATTATGGTACAAGGAGTTGAGTTAGGAGAATATGAACCAGTTTCAAGAGTTATTGTTAGAGAACCAGATGGCAATTTATACCCAATAAAGTTTGCAATATGTGTCATAGCTGCAGGACCTCAGTCTGGTCATGTTGCCAGATTAGCTAAAATTGGTACTGGAGAAGGATTGCTGTCAATTCCTTTACCTGTGGAACCAAGGTAACAAAACAAGATGCTTATCAGTTACGTTACAAATAATTTATCCAAATTTATGATGTTATTTTGATCTAATGTTCAGAGACTAGTGCCTGATGATTTATCGAATTATTCGAGCATAATTTATTTGATATATTTAATATAAACACTAAAATTATAGAATCTTCTGATATGGCAAATCATTAATATTGTTCAAAATCCTGTTTACCTTTTGTTTCACTTTTATAGAAAAAGATACGTGTATAGCTTTGAGTGTCAACATCATTCTCCTCCAGGTTTAAATACACCTCTGACAATCGATCCAACAAATACATATTTTAGAAGAGATGGATTAGGTGAGACTAATTAAAACGATGGCAAGAATTGGAATTTTCTTTCTTCATTTATTTCTTACTTCCCATTTGTTTAAATTATTTAGGTGGCAGATATATCTGTGGTCGTTCACCAGATCCTGACAAAGAACCGCCAGTCGATAACTTAGATGTAGATATGGATTATTTTGAACAAAACGTTTGGCCACATTTAGCACATCGTGTTCCATGTTTTGAAGCAATTAAAGTTAAAAGTGCATGGGCTGGTTATTACGAATACAATACCTTTGATGAAAATGGCATTATAGGATTGCATCCATATCACAATAATACATATATAGCAACTGGATTCAGTGGGCATGGTAAAATTCTTATTCTCACCATTCAATAAATTTGATGTTTGATATAACATAGAAATGTATTTCAGGAATACAACAAGTACCAGCTGTAGGAAGAGCAGTAGCGGAAATGGTTTTAGGTGTTGAGCATCCAGAAATCGATTTATCGAGATTTGGTTTTGATAGATTAATTTTAGATAAACCCATGTGGGAGAGTAATATAGTGTGATAATTGTTTTGTATGAAGAACTGACATACATAAAATATATATTTATAAGCTCATCTAATTCTTTTATTGTATAGTTAATGCTTATGCTATTAATTTAAACTAAATTATTTATTATATGTAGTTTCTTAAAGACACACCATAAAAGATTTCAAGCTCAATTTACATGACCCCAAATGTTTCACAATTAACACTTTTTAAATTATCATTTGCAAATCTTAACAATTCTGCGCATTAAATCAAGAACTTTATCGTTCAGCTTGCATAAGGTCAGACATACTTTATTTATTGCATACAACTTTATTTAATAGACACGTGATAAATCATGCAATATTACTATAGTTTTTCATATATATTTATATTCACATTCAAAGTTTTCTTCATCGACTATCTTATAAACATCATCCCTGAATTTGTCCAACTCATCAAGAAATCTTTCGCTACTATCATTGTGCATTTTAGTCATAACTGGTGAAATTGGAGTGATACCAGCAGTAGTTGCTAAGTCATTGTAATAGGCCTCCTAAATTAGGCATATATAATTTTCAGTAATCGACTTGTGAAAGTTGATTATATGAATAACAGATTTCAATTTATTGATGATTGTGATAAATATTTTTTGTGATTTGTGCGCATTGTGAATTTATGAGATCGATATTAGTAGCGACACCACCTCCGACCTTCAACTTTTGATTTCCGAAGCAACGGCTCACAAAATCAAGAAATCTAAACGCTAAAGAAATCTAAATGGTGTGGATTATGAAGATATCGAACATTTTCAAGCATTTTTTATAATCCAAAACAGCAATCATTTTGAAAGAATTGATACCTGATCTGGGCCCATAATATGGGCTTTCCTTTTGCTATCCCCACGTGCCCATCGTTTTTGCATGTCGCGTTCAGTATCCGCTCTCATTTCTTCTTTAGACGGCAATTGAAATTTGCCACACAAATACTCAACTACAAACCGAATCTGAAATTGTACTATTTAGTTAAATAATTCGGATGTCAAATACTTTATATTAATAATTCGATTAGTACCTGCAAATCAAACATTTGAGCTGCACAAACGTAAAAAGGAATGCCTATTAGTGCCATAGTTGGACGTTCGATATTAACTAAATGTTTATATAATGGCTGGACATAATTTTCAGATACGGTAATTCCACACTCAGGACTAAGGAACGGAAAACTATATAGATATCCTAATAAAAATAAATAAAAATTTCTAAATTCCCAAGATGATGATCATCAATGACAAAGGGCTTGAAAATGTTGTACTTATTTCTGGGCTCAGATATTTAAAAAAAATAAAATGACGATTTATTTGATTCTACAAAACTTGTTTTGTCTAATTGTAATGTCGCCATTGTACTCTTATCATTTCTTGGTATTCTGCAATAGCTAAATTATATTGAAAATTCACATATCAAAATAAATCGCCCTTTCGGTTTTAAAAGTGTTAACTAAATTATCAATTATCCAATAATCCACATTTTTTACCCGTGCAATATAAAATAATGTCGAATTTCTCTATTGAACCATCTTCAAACTTGGCACCATCTTCAAGTATTTCAGTAACTTCTTTTACCACCATGGTCATATTTTTGGGAAAAACAGTTCTTGGAACACGTTTCATACGATGACTTAGTGTGACATGCTTAGCTACTGAGGCTACTTCTAGTGCAATGTCCATTCCTAAGAAATCCCACAAAAATAATGAATCATTACATCTCTCTGGTTAATTGAGTTATTTTTAATTAAAAATAACACAACCGCAAGAACATATAAAATGGTGCATCATCGCTTTAATTTTGTCCGTCTGCCTATGCAAATTGTACATTTGTGTAAAATGCTATCTATAAAGTACCATATTTCGAATAGCCACGAGTTACAATTAGATAAAGAAACAAATAATTCGGAACATAAGTCCATTAAATGATAAAACGTTCCGATAAAGTACACAGGTATTATATTAACTTGTAAATTGTGAGATCAATAAAAATCATTTTTGAGTTTCTTTATCTAAGATCTTAATTCCGATATTGATATTTTTAAAGGCTGAAAATATTATTATTTCAATTACCAGATGGGCCTGCCCCGAGAACTAAAACACGTGCGTTTGTGTATGGGTCAGGTTTGCGATAATCGTGACTGTGAATTTGTGGACCCTAAAAATCATAGAACATCTTACTATATAAATGTTGCAATTTTGATTTATCAACTGCTTTAATTATTTTTATGTTTCACTTGCCTTGAAAATATCTTTATTATGAATCTGTGGTATAAATGGAGCATGATAATGTCCATTACAAACCATCACTGCATCAAATATTTCTATAACCGTTTTTTTAGTAGTAAGATCTTTTGCTTTAATTTCCCATTTATCGTCTTTTGTTGGTTTGATCAACTCTACATAATGGTTAAACTAAAAATGTCACAACTTAAATGAGTTAATTCGACATGTAAATAAATACATAATCACAAAAATTATAATTTGAATGTGAATGTTAATTTAACTATTAACCGCATACATTCAGAAATAGGTTTCCATATACATATTTATATTCAGATTGGTATATATTTAAAAAGAATTATACGATCCTCGTTGATATATCAATCATGTATATGGAAACCTGATAATTCAGACTACATAAATATGTAGTCTGAATTATCAGACTTCAAACGTGTATAATTTGTACAGTATTTACTTCTTTAGATCATATATCGGTCAGATATAAACTAGAAAAATTAATATAAATGATCATTAAAATATATATTCTGTCTATTTCAAATTATCTTATATAAATTTGAATCCATTCGATCCTTATAATCTAATGAGGAAGGCTTATGGAATGTTGGTTATCATTAGTGATTTTTATCAAAAATTAATACACGATAACAAATGAAATTTATTGTATTAAAGGGCTATTATTTATTGAAGGGATTTATAAAGATAATGCTTGTACCTTATTATCGTTAAAGCTTTTATATAATCCGACGATATGATTATTTTGCAGGAAAATTTCTAGGCGGAAAAATAAAATCTGTTTATTTAAAAACAATTTGACCTCAATAATAATTTTGCTTGTGATATCAGATGTTGTTTTAATGATATGCAAATAAAATAATTTTAAAAATATTATAATAAATCTATATACCTTTATATGTTCTCTTAATTTGAAATGATCGGCGTATAAGTTCAAAAAATTCAAAATATCTCTAGCTGGAATGTAAGATGCCTTTTGGGCTGGTATAGGGAAGTCAGGAAAACCCATTGCTTCCTTCGGCAGATTTGTTCTAAAAATATATATCATAATAATATTTCAATAAAATGCATATGTTGTTAGTTTTACTATTATTTGTTCAATTGTATAAATAGTTGCTTATGAACAAACATCGACAATAACAATCTCTTGGTAACATAATTGTCCGAGTAAAGAAATTTTCCCCTTAAATAGCAATCAAAATCTAAGTTGTTTGATCTAATAAGTTATCTTATAAAACTATCAAAAGGTGTAAACAAAGAAAAGATAGAAGATATCACTCCAGAAAGATATCTTATGATTTTTAGTAATAAACCAAAGATATTATAATTTTGTAAGTTAATCAAAAAAATATGAGTGAACCCAAATTTTATCAGCATATTTTTATATACAATGACTTAATTATGGAGTTAATTAGTTTTAACAAAAAATAACAAAAACGTTATATATCTTTCTAATTAATTAATCTAATTACAAGTGCATGCTTTTATAGGTTGTGATATGGTTAAGATAATTTTTATAAACACAAACATCGATATATTTTTTAAAGTAAATGGCTTATTACAAAAATCAAAGAAAATAAAATTATTGTGTTTAATCAAACATTATTTTGATTTTTTGTAGTAAGACGTTTACTTTAACAAATATATGAATGTTTTTATAAATTATATGTAAAATTTGATTTCAGTAGAATAAATAAATAATGAAGTATGATATAATTTAATATTTCAAACATTAATTAAAGTTTTACATCTAAATAAAATATAACTTTAATATCAAATAATATTGTTTTAAAACTCTTCAAGTTTCCGCTATGCTTTATTTTATTAAAACTATATTATATGTAAATGTTAAACTTTAATTAACGTTCGAAATATTTCATTATATTATACTTAATTTTTTATCTATTCTACTTAAATCAAATTTTACATAGGGAAGCAACTGATAGTTCAATTACTTTGATCTGGGAATGTTCAAGAAAGTTTTATACCTAAAAAGTCTTAATTTCTTTAAAAATATTGCGTTGTAACCCATTCCAAATTCAATATTATAAAATTTATTTGTATAATGAATAGAATATAATTATTTAAATGTTCTGGAAAAGATTTTTTACAAATTTTCAAAGGTATTTTTATTGTCATATTGGTTTCAACAATGACTATTATTTAAAAAAATTATCGGTCACCTAAGACTTTTATACATGCTCGTGTGTATAGGAAGTCCATATTCATCCAGGCCAGTGTCGTCAGTGTAAATCCAAGTTCCTCCTAACTCGGAGCCCCTTTCGAACACAACACATGACAATCCTTGTTCGAGCAAACGATGTGCGGAACACAAACCCGCGGTTCCTGCTCCGATAACGGCTACTTTCATTTTTACCAAATTTAATAAAAAATAATTATATAAAATGAAGAAACACCGAATTGCTGATTATATAACAATCAAACAAATATTGTAACCGATATATCTATTGTGACAAATATTTATTGATTTTCAATTATGAGAATCTGCTAAAGTTGTTCTCTATATCACGATTGACTAAGAAATGAATGTTTTTAAATCATTATGTTATCAATTGTCTACACACGCACGAACCAACACTATCAAATAATTGTATAAATCTATGAGACGATGGACCTCGTACTTGTAAATTAATGTCGTGCCTGATAAAAGTTTATTTGTTTCAGTAGTTCAAATATTTACAGAAATTTTGTTATATATTTATTTGTTACTGAATGAAATTTGCTCGGTAGATGGTTGGATGCATGATTGTTGTTTTGGCCCAGTTGAGAAAGTTTAAAATTAGGAATTTTAATGTTACTTGCATAACGATTTATTGACCTTGCACAACGATCGTTTAGCTTTGCTGCTAATTAAATGCATTTATATGAAATTGACTTAATAAATGAAACAGAACCGCAATTTTATAGAGAATAACTTAATTTGTTAAATCATACGAACGATTTGATACCATCACTCTAATAAATATAGGCGACCTTTTATATATTAAACAAAATTTTAGAAATTTTAATAAGTGTTATTCTTGAAGAAATTCAGTCTCTCTTTTACGTCCAATAAATTTTATTGAAATCGGTTCAACTTTTACAAACTAAATAAATATATTTTTGTTCAATTCTAAATTTTGATCATGTACTTATCGCATAAATAAATGTACTTTCTTAATTCAAACGTAATCTACAGTTATAGAAATAAGCCATTGGATTAATATATAATATAACAGGTTTTATATATTAAATATATATCTCTGTAAAACCAAATTATTTGATATTTGGGATATTTTAAAATAATATAATTAAGGTAATTTTACGAATTTAGTATATGTACAGAAACATTCATAGTTTCAACATAAATTCGACATTGATTTCATATAATGTACTATTGCAAGCTCTTTATTAAAATCAGAACTAATTATAATAGCAATAAAAATTCGGAAAAACAATATTATCGTTAATTTACTTCCTTTTGCAATTGAGAGATTGATAAAAATCAGATATCCATCGCTCACATTTCAAGATCAGCCAGTGCATTAATGCATAATTACGTTAATGCATGCATATGCAATACATTGATTATTATTCAAACAAGTTTTCCATAGATTAATATATCTATATCGTATAAAACCAAGAAGATAATTTATCACAATGGAATTTAACAGTTTGAACAACAGTAGTATAAATTATGATCCGCGCCTATAATTGCTGATTGACCTTAATCAAAATAAGCGATAAAATTTATTTAATGGTTTTGAACGATGCGTTATTATATATAGATAGAGTTTTAATAAGTTTAAAACCTACGGATAATTTTTTTGATAAATAATAATAATACATGAATTATGAGCGAAATTAATTGATTCAATTTTAATTAAGTTCTGTGTTACAAATCAAAACCTAAAAGTGTAAAAACACAGATAAATCAAATATTAACTAAATAAAATTAACTAAAATACTGAACTGATTATCATACAAATTCTAGACTGCTGTAAAATATTGAATTTCGTAGGTAAAATATGAATCATTTTTTTGATAATGTATATAATATTGCTATTATCTAGTAAACTTTTTGTTTAAAAATTATAAATAATTATTACAGGGTTGATCAAATAAACAACCAACAAATAAATATACAAAGACAAATGGATAGAGAAGATATAAAAATGTAGTTTTTTGAAAATATTTAGAAGTTTAGTGTTTAAAAGAGAGTACATTTTTTATTTACATAATGCTTCATCAATGATAATATATAAATTCCTCTATAAATTTGAAAAAACTTGAACTTTTTAAAATTAATACTTTTTGTTTACATTCTTTCAATAATGAGATTTAGTAATGTATATTTTTTGTAAGTATGTATCAATATATTATTGAATTCAATTTTGAAAATTCTTGCTACAGATTCGTTACGCACAAACTTGCATTTGTCCATTTCGTTGTCACATGTGTTCGAAATTGTTTATGTTTCAAGAAGACGGGACATCGGGCGCACATGTGGTGTCATATAAAATTGTCAAACTGTGAGGCTAACTCACAGTTAAGTCGAATCCATGTCAATGTAATATTTAACTATATTTATTTTTAATTAAATTGGTCTAATTATATTTATTATTATTATTAATTTAAATAAAATTATACTGCTAAGCATCGTAAAATCTAAAGATTATTTCTATTGTGTATTAAACTTCCATGTACAATATAGTTAACTATAAATAGATCAATTTAATTAAAAATAAAAAATATTATGAACAATAAATTTCATTGCAGTTATAGAAAAAATAACGAGATTACCAAAAATTACATTTTGTTAAGAATTGAGTAACAAATATCACCAAATTTTCATGCAAATAATATATATATATATATATATATATATATATATAATTTATTTTTCTGAACATAAAGTTTTCTGTTTTATTTATAAAGTATGTTTTTTCGAATGCTATTCAAACGAATAACTTAACTTTTAGTAGAAAAAAATTCTTTTAATGGTTTGATCATGTTTAATTTTTAAAAATCATTTACTAGTTGTAATCGATGCTTAAGAACATGATATTTTATTAACATATATAATAGATGTATTTTCATTATTAACATAGTTGAACAATCTTTGACCATGCCCTGCCGTACCAGGCCGGATGGGATGATGGTAAAAACAAGAGATCTGAACAAAAAAATACGGTTCGGTGTCTTGCAAAAATCTTGAAAAATCAGTTTACTTTAGAACACTGTTCGGAAACAAACGATTTTAATGAAGTTCTACGCGACAAAATATTAATACAAAATAACAAATATCTTTTTCTATCTGATATAAATTCATTTTTAAGTGACACTTATTGCTGATCCACGGCCCAGTGATGTTAGACAATAGATGATCAATCTTATATTGCGCTCGATTTGCGCCATTCCATTACATAAGTAAGCATTTGCCTATTTAAAACAAGAGACGTGTATTTATAAATTCCACACACATGTAACTTATTAGAGAACACGTGTTACTATTAAAAATGATATTTTGTAATAAATAAATAAATTATCATATAATAATAACCAACAATCGCAAGTGATACCGCCGAAGAAGGTCTAATTTTAAATTTAATGAGTGAATTCGAGCACATAACCAGACTACTTATACAGGTAAGCCCATTTCTCTATAATTTAATTTTCAAATGATGATTTATACTAATTATATAATAAATTTATAGAGCTTATTTATTATAAATATTACTTAAATATAAATGACTTATATTCACATTTGAACAATAATACCTTTTATTTAAAGTTCAAACCTTCATGGATCGAAACCGTATTTGAGATTTTTACCGATGTCTTTTTCAAGAACTACAAGCTGTAGCAATTTCTATACAGATGTCTGTATATGTTTAATTTAATGCATTTTATATGAAAGTTATTAAGGTTCCGTACTAACAAATCTAAGAAAAAGCACAAGTCCTCATGTTTCTATTAAAAAAAAATTACCCAATATGTTTCCGCAATAACCAAATGCTATATTTTTATTTATCTCAAATTATTTTATTATTTATAGTGTATTAGTTAATTATAAATTAATCCAGAATGGTGAAAAGCATGAAAGAGTTCAACAAAATAGCAACAAAATACTATAATTATTTAATTAAAAAGAAAAATTTCTTTGATTATTGTGCTTTGACCGTAGTATTAGAATTTGGCAAAATTGATAATTAATAACTTAATAATGAGCTTTCAATAATAATTAAAAAATAAATTTAACAGTATTGACTAATGTTTATAATCTAGCAAAAAACCTTGGCTTAGCAAATCATAATACAAATCAAAACAAAATTAAAAAAAGTAAATAAACATACACAATTTAATCAATATTCCAAAATATTTATATTACTTTTTATTTTTTAATATAGTTTTCTCATTGAAATATATCTTCATAATAGTTCTTGATGAATTCTTCACGGACATAAAAGTATTTGCACACTACTGTTTCTATAATGCATTGAATTAAGCTCTACTTGAATTATTTGCACAAAGTTCATGGTATTTAATTTTTAAAATTGTGTAAACCATAATTTGTGGCTAGTCTTTGGTACTAATAGATATTATTGATTTTTCGATTCCTTGTATTGAATAATTTTCTTAGAAGTCGTTGTATAAACTTTGTTCTGTATCCGGCATCACAAGCTTAGTGTTTGAGAATTTTAAAGAAAAAAAACATGTTTACGTTCAATTTATGACGGTACAAGATGGAGAAAAGGGGACCTGTGATTTAGCCAGAAATTATTTTAAGATTGTTTATAATTCGTTACCTCGTGTCGTCAGCCCTCCGCAGTTATATAAAGAAGGCGTCGATGTAATAAATGAACTAGTCTAAACCTCGGAATAAAATCATTAAAATTAATCTGAAATCATTTTCATCTATTCATAGTTTTAATGGGTAGGCGCTTTAAAATTGAACTTTCTGATCATAATAATACCTTTGGGACATATTGAGAATATATAAATATAAATTACTGGCTTTTTGGGAGGAAATCTGAAATTTTTCCCGATAACAAGGTACTTCTGTACAAAACTATCATAGTGCCCATTTGGACTTATGGTTATATTGATATTACTATGATATTTTTTACAGTAAATTTAAAACACTGTCTGTATTAATTTTAAACAAAGGATCAGATAGAACATAAAAACAATTTTTATACGGTTCTCTAAGTCTTCTAGAAACCCAAGATTTTTATTGTAAATAAGTCTGTGAATATTTTCATTGAATTACATTTTTTAACAATTAGTAACAAATAATGGCTTGGACGATCCCTACCGTACAATCTTCGACTGTTATCTTCCTTACCGTTTCTGTTTCAAAATAGGTTCAGTATTTTTGGCTAAAACTTGGAAGAAAAATTTTGCACTTATCTTTTGCCTAAAACTAATGAATGCTAGTCCTTATCAAGTTTCATGAAATTTTTAATCGGTCGTCGACAAAGTATCTAATTTTGGCCCAAATACTACATTTCTGTTCTAGAT